GAAAGTCTCTGAGTGATGAAAGAGCGCCCATTGTACACGATGCCGTCGAGCAACTTCAGTCCCAGAGCACCATGGCATCTTCGTCAATAACTCAGGTGTCTCCGGCATTCCCGCGCCAGCGTGCATCGTATTATGTATGCGCACATAAAAAATGATAAATGTTTGAATTGGTGTTCAAGTTTTAATATGGGTACTATTTTTTGCGTCTATTATGAGACACCTTGTATAACCAGATCGACCGGTAAATTGTAGCCCAACTGACCACTTCTGCCACTTTGTACGTCCATGTTCTCTGCCGTGATTTCTCGGTGAAATTACCCAGAGGTTCCGACTTTTTCCGTTTGCCAGAATACGCATCAAATTGATGATGTTGGGCCCCAACGAACCATTGTGCCTGTCCCCTCCCGAAAAACTCACTGATAGATGATGCATGAGGGGTTGATTCTAAATACAGCATCGGGAGAGTTGCATCAGAAAATTAATTCACCAGGAACTTGCGAGCGTCTTTCCCCTACACACAGAGCACAACAGGCAGTAGTAACATCCGCCCCCCGAAATTCCCTTTTCATCTAAGGACAAATGGAAATAGAGAGAATTGATGTCTTCTTGATCTTGTGCTTTTTTCGTACAGAATAACAGGTGGTCAAATACAGGATGAGGATAGAGCACTACAACAAAAGAAGAAGGAAAACCGAACAGGACTAGAGGAACACTTTCAGTTAGGTCTTTGTGGAACTCGCTCTAGGCATTTGCATTACAAATTTCAATAAAGTCCGGTTTGAGCGATGCGCCACCTACGAGGAAGCCGTCCACATCTGGTTGCTTGGCTAGTGTTCGACAATTGGCAGCCGTGACTGAACCTGTTAGGAACGGGGAACAAATATTTCGTAACTCGTACAAATCGAAAAAAACGCTACAAATAATTCATTTAAACCATCTTCTTAGTTGATTCCAAGCAGGACAGAAAAAGATTGAAGATTGACAAAAACTCAAACAATGCTGACTTTCTTGGATTTCGGCATTTATACTCCTTTAGACTAGCGCCGTTTTTTTATTTCTCTATCGATTTCAATCACTGCAATGAGAGACTTTATTGATTACCAAGCGCAGGAACCGAACAAACGAACATGGGTTAAGGCCGTGTCGTGCATGTGCAGATCACAACGAACTGGACGGTGAATGTTTACTGATTTTAGCGATCGGCAAACAAAACAAAATGACATGTGTCTATTTCTAAGAACGGTCGGACTTTAGGCCTCGCCATGTAAACGAAGCGGCCGACTCACATTCGTTTCTCAGTAGAAATTTCGTCCTGTAAATGAGAACCACGGCTGTTTCATCCTTGTTGGGGACCATCAGCGGTGCGCATCTCATCAGGAGTCTCGAACAGGCGACAGCCCAACACCATCTAATTCCGTCTTAAATGCACTAAGCCTGTCCACTTGTGCATTCAAATCTCTGGCGGCCAAAATGACATCTTTTAGCTCGATGCACTTGAAGCGTCATAAAACTTGTCTTTGGCAAAGCTATAAGCTCTAATGCCTGGCCGTATGTACCACCCTCTTCTACATACCGGTGATCGACATTGTAGCAGCCGGAACCAGTGCACCCATGGTACAGGGTTTATAGCTGACAAATTGAATTGACTGAGTTTGTTCTAAGGGCGGTAATGATTCCATTGGCCTTCGTCATCGCCTTCATCGACAGTATTACAAATGCTGAGTACCGCTCAGTTTCAGTGGTGTGCAAACATGGGTGAACATAAAAGAAAATCGTTCATCGGTAGCACCCTTCTGGTGTCTAACTGCCATGTCACCAAAAGGAAGCACGAGGGTTGGGATACTGTCAGGTAGCCCAAGCACAGAAAGGGGAAGTCGAGAGGCAAAGATGGGGCTCGAACCACGGTTCCTCCGGTCAGTGAATTCGCGCCCTGAGCACCAAACCACCTCACCTCAAGGTGAATACAAAAGTTGTCAAACCTTAGTCTATTTCAAAAATTCTGAGACACCTACAACTCCAAACATGCAATCAGACAATTTGGAAAGAAGCTGACAGCAACAACTTTGGGATCGTTTGGGAGTCGCATTTTTTCTTAGCCAAGTACAGCAAGAATTACGCGGATCTAATCCTAGAAGGCAACTCACAGCAATGGCAACCGGATTGTTGGTTACTGTACTCAAACACTGCTCATTGTTTGTGATGCAAACATAGAATTCAGCACTATTCTTGGTGAACGACGGCTCAGTGTGTTCTTCCAGATGAATTGTTCGGTGGAAGTAACCAAAACCTGTTTTTTAATCACCACGATTAAAGCTATGGTTCTGAGACACCAGTCGTCGAGGACTTGCTAATGCTTTAGATTCTCCGCTCAGAAAAGCCAAATCTCTGTACCATGTAGAACAACAGCCGACAATGTGACCCTATATTGCGATCTAGAGTGATATGCCGCTTTATTTTACAAGTGACATATTAGCGGACTCGATTCGATCTTTCGAGGTACGCGTACTGTTTTGAGAACGGCTAAAGGGTTCCAAGCCAGGTAATCCACATCCCCAGTATCTCTCACCGTGAATTGTAAGAGACGCGTTCAGAGTATGACCGTCTTAAAACATGACATTATACTTGGAGGGTGCAAACCCCAAGACAGAGGCTAAAATTACTCAGATTAGCTTTCCGAGGCTAGAACGACATCGTCTGCGCATTTCAGATCGACTCGTTTTCCTTTCAGTATTCCTATAAGTCAGAAATCAGTTTTTGTAGGAAGCTTGTTAACAGGGATTTTGATACACTTTGTATGCTTATAGGTACATAAATACATTGGGCAGCTTTGGTCGACAAGATTTCTGTGATACACCCCGCCGGTTACGCCTGTAAACGTGATTTTCTGTCCGTTAGATAAAAACTCTATGCGCAGGCGTGCGGAAAATAGCTACTATCGACAAATTAAAACTTTTCGGTGATCCACTGTTACTCCCTGTTGGTTCCATTTTCATGAGACCCAGAACGGACGATGGTTTGTTAGTGAGTTTAGTAGTTAATGGTGGACCACGTGGTGAACCACGTCGATACCCGACAGCCTTTCACGTCGTACTTTACCGGTGGTACTTTACCAAATTGATAAGATGGAGCGGTGCTCAGTAGGACAAGGGCGGAAGTTTTAGACGATCATAACTGTTCTTGCCAGAACTTGAAAAAGCACTTGCAGTATTGGCAGTCTCTTGTATCGTCCAAGGAATTGTCGAACGTTTGAGACTGAGCCGTAAACTGAAAGGCGATCAACACGTTGAACTGTTATATTCACCTAGTCGTAATACGACAATTAAAAAGCCAGTGTTGGGTTGTTCGATGGAGGTGCGTCCAGCACCAGGAGCTGTGGTGGTTAAGCCATGCGAATGCCGAATTATCGCTTTTTGAAGACAGGGATATTCTCCGCGGAAAATTTAGAGTGATGCAAGGTCAACCTTTGACCTCATGCAGCGGTTCGTAAGATAATTACGAAAACTCTGTCGGTGCGACTCACCTTCTAGGATGGACACCAAGTGCATGGTCGGAGACGTTGCAAGGTATGGCTTCTAATCGATGTCGATAGCGTACCTGGTGTCCGTGTCCATCTAGCTTGCCTGGATGAGTGTCTGGAAGTGTGGTAGACTAGCGCTGAACCCCTTCGCCATGCACTTTTATTCTTCTTTTCACAGTAAGGTTTTCAAGCAAATGATGCTTTGTACGGCAGAGGAACATCAGATGTATGATTGCTACTACTACTACTAATAATAATAATAACAATGAGTCATTGCCAGCAAAAACGTGATTTTTTAGCTTTTAATAGTGAGAATGCAGTGAGATGCTCCAACACTCTTTAAGAGTGACCATCTATTCTTACACCGGTTTTTTCCTATCGGTCTCATCAGACTATTGTTATCATCTCCGCACACTTGGTGGAAAAATTAACCTGTATTCATTGTGTTCCGTTCATTGGCAGTTGCTGGTGGTTAAATGCCAGGTTGCTTCAGCTCCTGATGAGTTTAGAACACCCAAACTGCTTCGTGTTCACCGCAGTGGGATGTGACACAATGTTCCTGTCCACGGTAAATCAGTGCCGTCTCTTCATATCACCAAGACTCAATCAACCCAATCAGCACCTTCAGGTGGGCAACGGATTCCACCTGCATACTTCATGTGTATAATTGCTGGTGTTGGATATTCCGTTTGTCGTCTTGTCAGTGGAGCTAATATTTGGTGAAAAACCGAGAAATATTGTATGGCTGTAGGAAATCATCAGTAGCAGGCGTCTCGAACCCGCAACTTCCTGGCTAGCAGATTGAACAATTAGCCTCTTGGTCATGAACGTTAAACTGCTTTGTACCTAGTTTCGCCCATCCATATGAGCATTAATATCTATATACCTAGGGGAGAAAGTGGCAAAACCATGATTCCACCGTGATCAAGACAAGTTAGGTTGGTGTGAAATCCCTCTCACCTCCGTATATGATCCGTATGCTGTTGGCGACCGCTGGACTGACTTTCTCCTCCATCCACTTACGAACAGCCAAGTGAACCTCCTGCGCTTGTTGCTCAGTGGCCGTCTTGCCTGTTCCGATGGCCCAAACGGGTTCATAGGCGATGACGATGTGATTCCACATGTCAGCTGATGACAGATTTTCTATGTTGAAGGGAGATGGAGGACAAAATCGTGAATAACTAGTAAAGGGAACCACCAAATTGAGATCATTGTTCCAGTGAGTAGGAACAGATGCACTCGGCTATATAAGGGCGCATATAGCTAAGCAAAACTATTCTCATAATTTGAGGTTTTCGGATCAATCTTACTCTCCTTTATTTTGATCGAGGCAAGGCAAAGGACACAAACAGTATCCCTTGGCTACCAGAATTAGTAAAGAGGAATTCAGTCATCTTCGATTGCACCCAACAACTTCCAGGCGCTGTTGTCAGAGTTACACAGAGTTTTCGGTTCGCTTGAATAAAGCATGCACCAAATATTAGACACTGTGTTAGGCATATATGATATAATATACCAGGATTATATTTATAGTATAATATAAATATAATATAA